GTGTGTGTGTGTGTGTGTGTGTGTGTGTGTGTGTGTGTGTGTGTGTTCTTGTACGTGTACATCTGAGAAATGTTGAAGTCTGTATAAACTCACATTGCACAGTGATAGTTATGGAGCCCTCCACTGCTCCATGGTCATTCTCTGCCACACACTGATAGGTTCCAGTCTCCCTTTGTGTAACGTGAGGAATCTTCAACCATAGCTCATTGTTGGAACTTGTTCTGTTCATTGTGACATTAAAACGTCTCCATGTCAGGTTAGAAGCTGGGAAGCTCTTGACAGAGCAGATTATCACTGCAGCTTTCCCCTCAATTATATTGATTGATGAATCTTGAATCCAATCAAGGGAAGAAATTGAGAGATTCTGTGGTGGGTCTAAAAGCAAACAATGATTAGTTAATTACATTGACTGTGCAGCATTTTCCAGACCCCCTCAATGTGAAAGGTGAAACAGCAGTGCATTTTCCTTCTTCATACTTCATGTAACAGAAGCAGACGCTTCAATTCAGTACTGAGGGAGTTTTCGTCTGTCAGAGAATCAGCACGGAAATTATTGCCCTATTGGAGCATTAGTACTGAGGGAGTGGCACACTGTTGGGGGCTGGCACTGAGGGAGTGCCGCACTGTCAGGGGTCCGGCACTGGAGGATAGCTGCACTGTCAGGGGTCTAGCGCTGAGACAGTGCCATGCTATTAACATTGCCATTTTTAATGCGAATGTTCAAACATGCCTGAGCCCTCAGTATTGACTCATTGCTAATACTGAACATGCCAGTGCAGCACTGCCAAAGGATAGGTGTTTGCAAATGTGCACTAGTTTTTAGGGATGTGTGTCCCATTGTGAGTATATGAGCAAGACCCAAAGTCACAGTCATAGAGATCTACAAAATAAAAAAAGGGCCCTTCAGCCCAACCTGTCTATACTGGTCAAAAATGAGCACCTAACAATTTATTCCCTTTTACTAGCTCTGAGCTGATAGCCTTGTATGCCTTTATAATGCCAGTGGACATCTAAACACTTAAACATTTTGAGGGTTTCTGCCTCTATCACCCTTTCAGGTTGTGAATTCCCGATTCCCTAAACCCTCTGGGTGAAGAAAATTTTCTCATATCCCATCTAAACCTCCTGCCTCCTATCTTAAAAACATACCCCTGGTCATTCCAACAAATGAAAAAGTCTCTTCATGTCTACACCATCTATTTCCACAGTGAATTTAAACTTCTCAGTCACATACCCCCTCAATCTCCCTTTCTCCAAGGAAAACAACCCCAGTCTATTCAATCACTCTTCACAACAAAAATTCTCCAGCACAGGCAACATCCAAGTAGATCGCCTCTGCACCCTCTCCACATCAATCACTTCCCCCATATAATATGGATTCCAGAATTGTATACAATACTCAAATTCTGGCTGTGCATCTCAATGTGCTGAACCAATAATCCAGGAGACCAGCTTCCTGCCAAGTTAGTATTAATCTTCCCTAATAGCACAAACAACCCTCCCCACAAGAATGCTGGTCCCATTCCAGTTCAGGTGCAACCCGTCTCTTGCTACCCCCTAAAAGGGTCCCAATGTCCCAGAAATCAAAAGCCCTACCTCCAGCACCATCTCTTCAGCCATTCATTCAAATGGAGGAACCTTGTATTTCTGTACTCACGAGCACGTGCCACTGGAAGCAATCCAGAGATTACTAACTGTGAAGAGCTCTTTTTTAAACTGCTTCCTAGCTCCCCAGTTTGTACTTGCAGGACCACATTCCTTCTTACTATCTTTGTCATTGGTACTAACATGTAACACAATTTCTGATTGTTTGCCTTCCAATGTAGGTGTTGATGACTGTGTAGACTCACATTCTACAGTGATGGTGATGGAGCCCTTCACTGTTCCATGTTCATTCTCTGCCACACACTGATAGTCTCCAGTCTCCCTGTATGTAATGTGAGGAATCTCCAAACACAGCTCATTGTTAGAACTTGTTCTGTTCATTGTGACATTCAGATGTCTCCACATTAGGTCAGAAGGTGGGAGGCTCTCAACAGAGCAGATTATCACTGCAGAATTCCCCGCAATTATATTGATTGATGAGTCTTTAATTATATGAGGAGAAGTAATTGAGAGATTCCGTGGTGCATCTAAAAACAAAGGAAGATAACATTGTAACAGAACAGTGCACAGCAAGACCCTACACTGATTTTACAGTGTTTGATGGCCCTCCAGGTAGGCAATGGCCTAATAGTATTATCGCTACACTATTAATCCAGAAACCAGCAGATGTTCTGGGGAACCCATGTTCGAATCCCACCACAACGATGGTGGAATTTGAATGAAAAAAAAAGTCTGGAATTTACAGTCCTTGATCACCATGAAATCATTGCTGATTGTCGTAAAATCCCATCTGGTTCACTAATGTCCTTCAGGGGAGGAAATCTGCCACACTCACCTGGTCTGGCTTACATGTGACTCCAAACACACAGCAATGTCGTTGACTCTCAACTGCCCTGTGAAAGCAAGGCACTCAGTTGTAATCGCTACAAAGTCTCAAAGAAATGAGACAGATCACCTGGCATTAACCTAGGCACCAGAAGAGGCAACGGCAGAAACAGCCCTGTCTACTTTGCAAAGTCTTCATCACTGTCATCTGGGGGATAGTGCCAAAATTAGGAGAGCTGTCTCACAGACTAGTAAACAACAGCCTGACAAAATGATCCATACAGAATCATACCTTGCAGACAATGTCCCAGACACCACCATCACCACCCCTGGATATGTTCTGTCCCATGGGCAGGACAGACCTAGCAGAGGTGGCAGCTTCAAGTTAAACATGTGTAAGGAAACCTCCTGCTGATTACCACTCACCGTCCTCCCTCAGCTGATGAATCAGTACTCCTCCATGTTGAACAACATTTAGAGGAAGCACTGAGGATGGCAAGGGCACAAAATGTTCTCTGGGTGGGGTATTTCAATGTCCACCAACACGAGTGGCTCGGCAGCAGTACTACTGATTGAGCTGATCGGGTCCTAAAGGACATAGCTGCTAGACTGGGCCTGCAGCAGGGAACCAACAAGAAGAAAATCATACTTGACCTTATCCTTACTAATCTGCCAGCTGCAGTTGCATCTGTCCATGACAGTATTGGTAAGAGTGACCATTGCACAGTCTTTGTGAAGATGAAGACCCGCTTTCACATTGAGAACAACTTCCATTGTGTGATGTGACACTATCACCGTGGTAAATGGGACAGACTTTGCACAGATCTAGCAACTCAAGACTTGGCATCCATGAGGCACTGTGGGCCACAAACAGCAGCAGAATTGTACTCCAGCACAATCTGTAACCTCATGGCCCAGCATATCCTCCACTCAACTATTACCATCAAGCCAGGGGATCAACCCTGGTTCAATGGAAAGTGCAGGCTGACATGCTAGGAGCAGCACCAGGCATACCTGAAGATAAGGTATCAACCTAGTGAAGCCATCAAACAGGACTACTTATACGCCAAACAGCGAAAACAGCAAGTGATAGACACAGCTACGTGAGCTCACAACCAACGGATCAGATCTAAGCTCTGCAGTCCTTCTACATCCAGTTGTGAATGGCGATGGACAATTAAACAACTCACTGGAGGAGGAGGCTCCACAAATAGCCTCATCCCCAATGATGGAAGAGCCCACTACATCAGTACAAAAGATAAGGCTGAAGCCTTCGCAGCAATCTTCAGCTAGAAGTGCCGAGTGGATGATCCATCTCGGCCTCCTCCAGTGGTCCCAGCATTACAGATACCAGTCTTCAGCCAATTCAATTCACTCCATGTGATATCAAGAAACAGTTGGAGACAAGGGATATTGCAAAATCTATGGGCCCTGACAACATCCCGGCAATAGTACTGAAGACGTTTGCTCCAGAACTTGCCGCACCCCTAACCAACCTGTTCCAGTACAATTACAACAGTGGTATCTACCCGACAATGTGGAAAGTTGCTGAAGTATGTCCTGTACGCAAAAAGCAGGACAAATCCAACTTGGCCAATTACTGCCCATCAGTCTACTCTCAATCATCAGTAAAGTGATGGAAGGTGTCACCAATAGTGCTATCAAACAGCACCTGCTCAGAAATAACCTGCTCAATGACGCCCAATTTGGGTTCCGCCTGGGACTCAGTTCTTGACCTCATTACAGCCTTGGTTCAAACATTGACAAAGAGCTGAATTCCAGAGGTGAGGTGAGAGTGACAGCCCTTCATTTAAAGGCTGTATTCCACATAGTGTGGCATCAAGGAGCTCTCGCAAAATTGGAATCAATTGGTACCAAGGGACAAACTCTCTGGTGGTTAGAGTCATATCTGACACAGTGCTTGTTGGAGGTCAATCATCTCAGCTCCAGGACATCTCTGCAGGAGTTCCTCAGGGTAGTGTCCTAGGCCCAACCATCTTCAACAGTTCCATCAATGACCTTCCCTCCATCATAAGGTCAGAAGTGGGGATGTTCGCCAATGATTGCACAATGTTCAGCACCATTCATGACTCCTCAGATACTGAAGCAGTCCGTGTTCACATGGAACAATATCTGAACAATCTTGGCTGACAAGTGGCAAGTGACATTTGTGCCACACAAATGCCAGGCTATGACCATCACCAATAAGAGACAAGCTAACCGCCGTTGCTTGACATTAAATGGTGTTACCATCACTGAATTTCCCACTATCAACATCCTGGGGGTTACCATTGACCAGAAACTCAACTGGACTCACCACATTAACACAGTGCCTACAGGAGCAGGCCAGAAGCTAAGAATACTGCGGTGAGTAACTCACTTCCTGACTCCTCAAAGCCTGTCCACCATCTTCAAGGCACAAGCCAGGATTGTGATGGAATACTCCCCACTTGCCTGGATGAGTGCAGCCCCAACAACACTCAATAAGCTTGACACCATCCAGGACAAAGCAGCCTGCTTGATTGGCACTACATCCACAAGCATTTACTCCCTCCACCACCGACGCTCAGTAGCAGCAGTGTGCACTGTCTGCATGATGCACTGCAGAAAGTCACCAAAGATCCTCAGACAGCACTATCCAAACCCACGACCACTTCCATCTAGAAGGACAAGGGCATCAAACATATGGGAACACCACCTCCTCCAATTTCCCCTCCAAGCCACTCACCATCCTGATTTGAAAATATATCACCGTTCCTTCACTGTCGCTGGGTCAAAAGCATGGAATTCTCTCCCTAATAGTATTGTTGTGTCAATCCACAGTAGGAGGACTGCAGCAGTTCAAGAAGGCAGCTCACCACCACCTTCTCAAGGGCAACTAGGGATAGGCAAGGAATGCTGGCCAGCCAGCGACACCCACATCCCACAAATGAATGGAAATGAATTCCATTCACTTTCCCTCTATGTCAATTTCCATGTCACGTTTCTAATGAACGTTACCTGTGTCAACCATCATTCTATTCCCTCACCACTGAAACTGCTGGCCATCTCGAAAGAAAGAAAGTTACTTTCATCTCTTCAGTATGTCCCCAGGTACATGTAAGCCATTGGATAATATTTGATCTTTGGATTACTAAGTTACATGGTATGTGTCCAGTCCAGACCAGGTCAACATCTGCCTGCTGACCAGTCAGTTTCTTTTAGAAAGGAGACATCTTTTGATTTGTCAGATACTTGCTAAGAGAATAAAACCACTAGATTCGACAGGTTTGAATAATCATAAATAAGATTAAAATAGAAAGGTGACGTACAACTCTCCAATGTATGTACCACATATACTTGAACATCCAGAATTAAAATGAGTTCAATAAGGGCAACTGACATCTGTGATTAAAGACTCTGAAGAGCGAATTAAATGAAAAATGAGGTGAAGTCAGATCCCAAAGATTTTGCAGCAAAACCCTAGTTTTGGTGATGCTGTGGCTCATCACATCTCATGAAATATTCCAGTGGAATTTTGATTAATCTCTTTCTGACTTATTAATGTCTTTATTCTGAGACCTCAGTCATTTCCACACTTTTTTTCTGAATCCTAACTCCTCGACTACTCCTGGGTCCCAACTACAGCACATAAGCTGCAACAACTGGTTCCCAGGACCTTATCTGAGTCCCAACTGCATGGAACGATCAAACAACTGCTTCCTGTGCTGCAAGCCAATGGAATGAGTGGCCTGCAGTTGGCTTTTCAGCAGCAGTTTGAACAAATCTCGTCCTGCATACAGCCTATTAATTTTCCCTCTCTCTCAGTCTCAGTCTCTCTGTCATTGTCTCTGTCTCCCTTTCTCTTTGTCATGCTCTAACTGACAAACTTACTCAAACACAAAGTAACTGGACCCTAGAACTAATCTGAGTGATCTATTGAGAACTTGGCAATGAGCAAGCTTGTACCGATGTATGGATGACAGTGGCAACCAATGGAATGCCACGAATGTTTCAATATTCTCGGATTGCTGTTGTACACAGTACAAATGGATGCAATGATAAAGAACAGAAAAATCTGCAATTCTCCACGCAGGGCACTGATTATTAAATCGTGTTTTAGTACTGTGGAGCTTGCATTTCTTCAACACAGAATGAAAGCTGGTAGTGTGTGTGTGTATATATGTATTGTGTGTGCATCCGAGAGATGTTGAAATTTGTGTGCACTCACATTCCACGGTGATGGTTATGGAGCCCTCTACTGTTCCATGCTCATTCTCTGCCACACACCGATAATCTCCCGTCTCCCTGTACGTAATGTGAAAAATCTCCAACCACAGCTCATTGTTGGAACTTGTTCTGTTCATTGTGGCATTAAGATGTCCCCACATCAGGTTAGAAGCTGGGAAGCTCTCAACAGAGCAGATAATCACCACAGCTTTCCCCTCCATTATATTTATCGATGAATCTTTAATCCCATCAAAGGAAGTAATTGAAAGATTCTGCGGTGGGTCTAAAAACAAACAATGATCAGTTAATTACAGTGACTGTGAAACACGTTGACAGACCTTGATAATGTGAGGGGCGAGATATCAACAAAGTTTCCTTCCGCACAAATCGCATAACTGAGGCAGATACTTCTGTTCAGTGTGAAGAAAGTGGCTCATATAGTTGTACAACTTGAAAATAGGCCCTTCTATCCAACTAATCCATGTTGAACAGATATCTTCAGTTCATCTAGTCCTGTTTGCCAACACTTATATTCCTCTAAAGCCTTCCTATTCCTATTCCCATCCAGATGCCATTCAAATGTGGTAATTATACCAGCCTCCACCACTTCCTCTGGCAGCCATTCCATATATGTACCATGCTCTACATGAAAAAGTTGGCCCTTTGGTCCCATTCAAATCTTTCCCCTCGCACTGTAAGCCTATGCCCACCAGCTTTGGACTTTCCTCCCCTGGGAAAAAGCCCTTGGCTATTCACCCTATCCATGCCTCTCATGATTTTATAAACCTCTGTAAGGTCACCTCTCAGTCTCCGATGTGCCAGGAAAAATAGTCCCAACCTACTAAGCCTCTCCCGGTAGCACAAGCCCTCCAACCCCAAAAACTTCACTGTGAAAAAGTCAGACTGACGGTGAGTTGCGCTGCCGGAGGGTCAGTACTGAGGGAGTGCTGCACTGTGAGACGGTCAGTACTGAGGGACTACCATACAGTCAGAGAGTCAGCACTGAGGAGTGCCACACTGACGGATGGTCAGTCATTGAGGGGATGCTGCATGCTGGAGAGTCAGTGCAGAAAGAAGGCCTCACAGTCTGAATGTCGGTACTGAGGGAATGCAACACTGCCATCTTTAATGTGTCAAAACTGTCTCTGCCGTCTTAGTCTGAGATTGCTCAATTGAGTCCTGGTGTGCAGCATATTGGGAATTGTGGGGTCTTGCTGCGCACAATATGGCCTATGGAAAGTTGAATGAAGGATGTCTATACTTACATTGCACTGTCAGTATGAGGGTCTGCTCTGATGAAACAGTTGGATAACTCACTCTGCAGGTGAGAGTTTGCCCCTGGTGTGTGAGTGATGGTGTCAGGCTCAGAACAGAAGTATAGGTCAGAGTGACACCATGCTGAGTTACAGTGTTTGAGACTGATCCAGGTACTGCAGTGGGAGTGTCCCAGGTTAAGGCAGGAGCTGTTCCATTGCATGTTGTGTTGAAGGTGCAGCTCAGGTTCACACGCTTCCCTGCAATAATTTCCACAGGGAATATCATGGGTTTATCTGTGAAATCTAACATACACAGAATGGACGTTTTTAGATAAATATAACGTGGAACATCAGCTCAAATAGAAATCTCAGTCCTACATGAGAAAGCACGTTTACCAGGATGACCAGGTTTACAGAGGGTTAGCACTGAGGCTGGAGGAGTGCACCCGACATGTAGTACCACCTCTCTATGGGTCACAGCATGAAATAAAAATACTTTTCTCAGTTACCAAAATGGCTAATCAACTCCCTCAGGGACCTTTGGTTTTAAATAAATAGATCTATTCGACTGAAGCTGTCTGCACTGGTTGTGTGAGCATTTTGATGTGCAACCAACTTCTGCTTTTTCCCCATCACTCTGTGCACTGTTTCTGTTTAAGTAACCATCCAGTTTCCACATGAATGCTTCAATTGAACCTGACCCCACCACACTTTCAGATGGTGCATTCCAGACCAAACCACACACTGTGTGATAAAAATGGTTTTCTTCATTGTGCATTCATTTCTTTTGCAAAACATTGGAAAATTGCGAAATATAGTTCTTGATTCTTTAATGACCATGACCAGTTCTCACTATCTGCTCTGTCCAAATCTCCCCTCAGCCTTTTCCTCTCTAATGAAAGCAGCCACACGTTTTCCAATCTGTCCTCATAACCGAAGTTTCTCATCCCTGGAATCATTCTCATAAACCACTTCCACACCGTCTCATTGTATTCACATCTTTCCTGCAGTGTGGGATTCAGAACTACACACAATACTCCTGCTGATGTGTAAACAGTGTCTTTATAACTTCATCGTAACCTGCTTGCCTTTGTGCTGTATGGCCCTGTTAATGAAGCCGAGAATAGCATATGTTTTATTAACAGCTCTCTCTACCTGTCCTGTCACCTTTAATATCTTATGCACATAAACACTCTGGTCTCTTTGCTCCTGCTCAGTCTTTTGATAATTATGCTTGTTCTTCACTTTTCCTTCAGTTTTTGTTTTGTGTTCTTTGTACCAAGTGTATTTCACCTCATCCTCTCTGTGTTGAAATGAATCTGCTACCTTTGCACCCACTCCATCACCCTTTCAATGTCCTTTTCAATTGCTACGCTGTTCTCCTTTCAATTCTCACAAGTATTATCCCATTTTCAAATTTTGAAAATGAACTGGTTGTGAAGAAGGGTTACAAAACTCAAAATATTAATCTGCTTTCTCACTATGCATCCTGCCAGACATGTTGAGTTTCACCTGGACAAAACACTTGTTTTTCTTTAACTTAATTTTGATCTCCTTTGTCTTTCAGAGAGATCAGGATTTGTCTTCCTTTCCCTCTTGAGGGAATATTCTTTTACTCAGGTCGAGCCATCTCCTGTTTAAAGGGAGCCCATTGTTCAGCTCATGTTCCTCCTGTTAGTCTCTAGATCCAGTCAGGGTCACAGCCTTGCAGTGTCCTTGTCCTTGTTAGGGACCAGACCAGACTCCCTCAAAACGTTTTAAGAACGTAGCCTAGGCGCTAACTTTTTCTGATTTTAAACGTAGATGTGAGGTGCATGTTCCAGATGTGATGCGACTGGTCAAACTACTCAATTTTAATCAGAACACAATTTATTAAACACTGTAGTTAAAATACAAACAAAAGAATGAAGAATTTAGAATAACTTCACAATTGGAAAACTCAACCAAATAATAGATACAGTAATTATTGCTAATTAATTCCTCCAATGTGGCAACATCCCATGAACACACCCCTTGGCAAAAAGGTAAATTCAGACACAGATTATGACATGCAATTCTCCAATCCAGGAAGAAACAACATCAAGAGAGATTTCAGAGAATGTAGCAATTCGGAATAATTTTACTGAAGCTCTAACTCTTCTGGGACCCAAACAATTTCTGACTGCGACAGCTAAAAAAACTAGAAAGCTTGATCTGAGAATTGGCCACTTCCTTTCCATTGTTACAACATTTTTCATAAAAACCTCAAGGCCTCTTAAAGTATTGACTGAAGCCATTTTGAGTAGTCACTTTCTTACCTCTCCCTTTACAATTTCTCTTCAAAAATAACATAGGATAAAATAACCTTTTTAAGCTGACAGCATCATCATACTTCCTCCCCCCACCTTAAAACAATGAACCATCAATATACAACATGGCTTCATTTTAAAATCCTTTGTATTACTCTATTAATACGCTAAAATACATATACACTATATGGACTCTAAGCATGCAAACATTCACTACTACATTCTATTTCAATCCATTTACTCCCACCAACGAGCACCTCCATCTTTCTTCATCCAAGTCATGACAGCAGTCAGCAATTACATTTTCTTATCCTGCCACATGTATAATTTTCAAATTGAATGTTTGCAATAATAAGCTCCATCTAAACAGTCTGGAATTTTTGTCAAATTTCTCCAAAACCTTTAATAGGTTACAGTCAGTATATACAATTGCCTCAGGCACATTACTGGCAATATAAATGTTGAAATGTTTTAACGCCAACACCAAGCTCGAGGTTTCCTTCTCAATCTCGGAATATTTCTGTTGATAAGCATTTAATTTTCTGGACAAATACTGATAGGTTTTTCTATCTTCTTGTTGTCTTTTTGTAAGAGTACAGCACCGATAGCCGCATCACTCAATTCAATAGCCACCTTGAATAGCTTTGAGTAATTAGGTGTGGCTAATACTGGGGCAGTGGTTAACAGCCTTCAGGCTGTCAAATGCCTTCTGACAGTCCATTGTCCTCCGTAGTTTTCTGTACTTCTTCAATGAGTCAGTCAGTGGAGTAACCACACTGCTAAAATTGGGGATGAATTCCAATAAAACCCACTCAATTTCAGGAATTACAGTGTTACTCTTTTCATGGATGGCATTGCAAACTTCCCAATAACCTTTGTTTTCACATTCCTTGGGGCCATCTGTCCATGTCCGATAACATGGCCTCGGAACGTGACTTGGGCTTTTGTGAATTCACTCTTGGCCAGGTTTATCACTGAGCCTGCCTCCCAAAGTCGATCAAATAATTCCGATAAATGCTGCAAATGTTCCTTCCATGTGTCGCTAAAAATCACGAAGTCGTTGATGTAGATCACACAATTCAATAATCCAGAAATAACTTTATTCGTTTGTCTTTGAAATGTGGCTGGTGCATTTTTCATACCAAATGGCATGATTTTAATTTGGTATAGTCCATTTAGTGTTATGAAAGCTGAAATTATCTTCGCTCTTTCGGATGAAGGTACCTACCAGTATCCTCTGTCTAAGTCCAACTTAGAAATACAAGTTGCTTGTCCTACCTTCTCAATAAAGTCTTCCAAATGTGAAATGGGCTGTGAATCAGACTTTGTAACTGCACTGAATTTGCAACAGTCCACACATAATCATTGGGCACCATCTGGTTTTGCCATGAGTGAACTCCAGTTGTTGCAACTCACTTTGATCCTGTTGTTTTTGAGCATTCGTCCAATCTGGTTTGATCTGTGCCAATTTTAGAGGGTTAAGTCCATAAGGATGCTGCTTATTTGGAACAGCATTTCCTAAACCTACATCATGCATAACTAAATTAGCACTTTCCAGCTTATTCCCACATATCTCCCAATGCGATAGCAATAACTCTTTCAGGTCATTTCAATTTTCCTCTGGAAAGTAACTTAATAATTTGTCCCAATTTTTGAGAACATCCTCATTTTCCAATTAAATTTGAGGAATGTCCAATTCCGAATTCTTTGAACTTGGTTCCTCACTCTGTGTGATAAACAGTAACACATTCTCCTTTTGTTTTCTTTCCCTATCAAGATACCTTTGGAGCATATTCACATGACACCCTCTTGTGAGATTTCTTTCTATCTGGAGTTCTTATCAAATAGTTCACCTCACTCAATCTCCTTTGAGAGATTGCTTTGAGAGATTTGCCTATCAATGCAAGTAACACTAACACTTTATCTCCATTAGCAAAGTTGTGAATATTTGATTTCTTCTCTGCTTCCTGTTTCATCATGTTCCGTGTACTTTCAAACTCTGTCCAGCCAACTCACCTGCTCAGTTTAAAATCCTGAAAATTTGACACATAGTCCAAAAATGTGGTCTCTGAACTCTGATTCACCAATTTCTCCTTAATTGCTTTTAGTGGTCCTTTCACCTCATGCCCAAAAACTAATTCAAATGGACTGAATGTGGTAGATTCATTTGGTGCACACCTAATTGCAAAAACTACAAATGGAATTCCTTTATCCCAATGTTCTGGATAGACTTGACAATAAGCCCTCAACATGGTCTTTAAAGTTAGATACCACCATTCTAACATTCGCTGCAATTCTGAATGGTACGCACTGGATTTGGATTGTTTTATTCCAAAGCTATTCATAACTTCCCTGAATAACTCTGATGTCAAATGTGACCCCTGATCTGATTGTATCTCTGTGAGTAGTCCAAATCTAGTGAAAAAAATTGACACATCCATTATGGTCAACAAATAATGTTTGCCCCTTTTTTTGTTTTAGGTAGGGATCCAACACAAACAATTAAGACCCTTGTAAAAGGTTCCTCAAAAGCAGGAATGAGAATTACAGATAACAAGGTGTAGAGCTGGATAAACACAGCAGGCCAAGCAGCATCAGAGGAGCAGGAAGGCTGACGTTTTGGGCTTAGATCCTCCAGCTCTACACCTTGTTATCTCAGATTCTCCAGCATCTGCAGTTCCTGCTATCTACTTGAGTATTACAGATTAACAACACCAGTGGTTTTCCAATTTCCGGACACGAATGATATGTCTGGTAAAATTCAACAATATCTTTATGCAATCCAGGCCAGTAAAAATGTTTTTGTATTTTGTCTTGAGTTTTCCTTCCTCCTGAATGACTTCCTGCTGGTAATTCATGTGCTTCTTGCAACACCCCCTTTCTGTAACACACTGACAGTACAACTTGATGAACTTCTACCCATTTCTCATTCGCTTGAATATGTGATGGTCTCCATTTTCTCATCAAGACATCATATTTGAGGCAGTAACCTTCTGGAATACCCTCAGATTCTTC